AAAAATGGAAGAGTGGCATGAAGCAAACAGCTGGAGAGTACAGATGCAGAAGGAGCTAAACTTTAGTACCTTGATGTTCCTGGAAGCCTTTACCTTGGAAACTTTACCTTGGTGAAGAACCAGTCCCTACCTGCAGCAATGCCTACCTGTGCCAGGAACAGCCCAAGCAGCAGCATCTCTGCTCCTGTGCTGAAGAAAGGCACTTTATACCACCACCCTGACTAACAAAAGGCTAGAGAAGGAACACAAGCTTCCTTACAGACAAATCATCCCTGCCAATCCTGAATGTCAGCTGGAAGATGCAATTTCCATTCCCTATCACTCCTGTGGCAACTTGTCTAAATCTTACAACCCCAGGGCATCAGGTACATGCTGTTAACTAGGGCCCTTAGCATTTCCCTCCCCCCAGGATCTCCTGACACAAGATTGCTAGCAGCTGGAGAAGATTATGCCACAGTTCCCCCTTGCAATGCAGCAATCCAGCAGAGAGGCATAACTCATAGGTCAAGTGATGCATGGAGTTTGTCCAGCTCAGCAGTGCTGGGATGAGGGAAAGCCTTGGCGAACAGCATGATCTTCTTTCATAAAAAGCCACGGATTTTTCACATTTAGCTGTGCCTTGGGTTAAGGAGATGGGAGGTCAAACTGCAGCCTCCAAACCCCAAGGTTTAACAGTGTATGCATCTAGGGTTTTGGGTCCATATTTTATAGAATGTGGACACCGGCAAATTATGGATTTGGACTGATGGAGGCCTGGATGCAGATATCAGTCGTTAGGAGGGCTCAGGGACAGCTTTTTAAATTTTTTTAAATTATTTTTTAAATACACATCTGGTTTTGAGGGCCTGAGATGACAGGTTAAAACGTCTAATCTCAGGGATGACTCTGCTGTAGGGATTTGGGTCCAGGCAACAGTCAGCGACCTTTTTGGGCTACAGGCCAGAGTGACACAGTTCACAGCAGAGGAAGGCAGGCACTAGGACTCAGCTTTCTTCACTATTTTTCCCTGGGGCAGCATAGAAACAGCACCCCATCTGGTGCTTCTGGGACAGTATGGGAAAGTGGTTGGTGGTAAAGTCCTCCCCCTGCCCCCCTCTGCCAAATGCTGCCAAAATCCCATGTCTGTGGCCTATATCAACTGGCTCCACAGGCCACAGGTTTCAAACTCCTTCCAAACTCAACATAAAAATGCAAGTTCAAGACCCAGACAACTTCCAAAACAGCAACATAAATGCATCTTGCTTTTGTTAGCCTGAAAGGCATTCTTCATCACACACTATCCAGGGAAACCTCTGTGAGAACTCAGCTCTGTGATGAAACCATTTAATCTGAAGTCTCATAAATAAGACATATGGCAAGGCATTAGGGAAGTAAATTTTGAATGTAAACGTGGAGCTTCAAGTGACAAGCATAACATAGATTCAGTCCCAATTATAGCAAAACCTCTGGATTTATGGTAGGCTCTCATTGTACTGTATTTATCTGATTACTCCATACAACTGGACTAGGTGCAGGTGTCAAAGGGCCGTATTTATAATCTGTTGCCACCTAAATGGATTGCTTTTGTTTGATAATGAGACTGCTGCTATTCTTGGGATGCATCGCACCACTGATAAATGAGAGAGAACAACATGGCAGAGCCATTCCGTTTTGGAAGGTGGGTATACATTTTAACATCTTTAATAAGAGCAATTCATTTTAACGAAAAATGTCTCTGCTAGCTAAAAACCAATAAAACCTTCCTAGGGTGAGGCAAAAGATTAATCTAGTTTTTTTTATTAAGTACTGCAGTAAAAATAAAATAAAATAAAAACATATGTATATATGTATGACACCCCATGATACTGTACATATACCTAATAGGGTGTCTTTAAAAACTGCATCTATTTCAACATTTTAAAAAGCTCTTACATTTCTACATCCTTAATACAAATCTCACAGCACTTAAGTTGATGCTAATTGTATCTGAGGTACTGCTGGAATTCTTTGGTTTTATATATAAAAAGGGGGGGGACGTGTAGAGAGATATCAATATGATATACAATCAGGTTCTTGCTGTGGGCCTAAGAACAGGTCTGCAGGAAAATTTGGGACTAGAAATCAAATGTCCTAGCACCTCATCCTGCACATGAATCATTAAGAGGTATTTGTTTCCAATGATTTTTTTTTTTTAAATCCACTGCTTTTTTTGCCATGAATTAATACTGATAAAAGCAAAAATTGCTGCGAATGCAGAAGCAGCATCACTTCTCACCACTGCCAAGGTATGCGTGAAGCAAAATGTTAATCCACTGGTCTTATTGCCAGAATTATGCTGATATCATTGAACATAAACAGCAGCCATAATATAAAAGGAAGTAAACATAATGCAGCCACATCCCATAAACACACACAGATGGACTAAGATCAAATGACACAAGGCTGATTTTTGCAGAACAGCATTTCCTATGACTGATCTGTATTTGTGCAGAGAGGTAGCTTGCCGAACACAGCTCTAACAAGGCTATTTTTTATAAGGCTTCAATCCTGCCAAGATTTATTCTCAAACTTAACTGCAGGGACAGGAATAGTCCTGCTGATTTCAGTTTCTACTACCTGTAAAATCAAGTGGAAATCTTTCTAAGATCAGGCCTTGTGTTTTTACTACAGCCACAGTGTCAGACTCCCACACACTCACTAAATTTGGATCCTACCTTTCTCCACAGTCAGCCCTTCTGAAATCCGTGGCATGACCTCCAGAGGAAAGTACCTGTTCATTGCGAGGCAGTGTCTCTTCCTGGGTACAGCGCTAAACTGGAACTCAGGGGACTCAAGCTCTATTGCCAGCTCTGCCACTGCCCTGCTAAAAGACCTTGAGCAAGCTGTGCTTCAGTTGCCCTATTTGTAAAATGGGGACCATGATACTGACCTCCGCTGGAGAGTGCTTTTAGATCCACCGATAGAAATTGAATGAGGGTTCAATAGTAAAAGGTACTATTAAAAAGAATACAGAGGAAGTGAAGGGAGTTCACATGATAAGATAAATTAATCTATCAAAGGATTAGATTTCAGTTTTTATTTCAGAGTTATTCAGATGACCGAGTAATCGTCACCGTTACTGGAAACAGGGGTGATACTTCTGCAGTACTCAGATTACCCAGCCCTTGATCGACTATATGGACTCACTATTAAAATGACTTTGGAATCAATGTTACACTTGTGTTATGCACAGAGGACTTGCCCCTGACTGTCAAGGGAACACGTCACACTTTATGCAAAAATATTTTGTATGGTATGCTAGGAAATGACCTCTCTCCAACTCCACACAGAATAACTGAGCTTAGCACAACCACTCTGCTGTCAGTGGAGTTTCTTTATTATTCAGATGAAAGGCAGTAGCTATAGAGGTGAGTGCAAGGTACCATATGTCTTCAGAGAAGAACCGACAAGATAAAACAGAAGCAATCTTTAACAGTGACATTTTGTACTGCTGGCCCTTAATGAAGGTGTGATCCTCACTGCAAACCTGGCCGGAGAATTTTTATTGCTCAAATACCTCATGGGAATAATAAAAGGGCCCAGGCAGACAACAAAACAAAGACTTATAGGTCTCAGGGATCACCACATGTGAAAGGGAATAATTCAGGAAGATGGACTTTTCCTCTCTACCAACTGGCTCCCCATTTGCATGCTAAAATTCATCAGCATTTTAGGCTGCACTACTTGGCTCAGCACCGATTCACCAAATTACAAGCAGCCCAGCACAGCAGCAGCCATCCCACAACTCTGGGACACCCACAGAAATGGAGGGTTTCAACACCAATTCACATCACTCTTTGTTTATATTCACAGAGAAATGCAACACTGATGCAAACCAGGGCTTCTCTCTTTTTGCCTGGTTTTGAATTCCCAGACAAACCAATTTTTGTCAAAAAGATTTTTGTTAAAAAATTCCTTCTTTTTTGCTCAGAAAAAACCAGCTGGCTTGTAGTAATGGGCTTACTCTGAGCACTGGATTACTCACTTTTACTCATGATGAATGACAGTTCTCGTACAAATACTCCAGTATGAAACACATCCAAAATTCAGCCCCCCTTCCATCTACCTGCTTATTATAGTGCTAGGAAAATTCCTTTGCCCGTTTATCTTCTCTCTGTCCCACACATGATTTCCCATGCAGCAAATCACTGGGGAGGCAGTTTAAAATGCCCAGAGCCATATGAAAGGGTTGAATAGCTGTCCATGAAATTTTATATCAGTCTGGGTGGCATTCAGACAATCCACAGAGTTTCTGCAAATTTCAAGATGTGTGGCATGAATTTGTGCTGATATTGAATGTTTCTAATGTGAAACCTTGGACTTCAGAGCCAGGGTGCAGTTAGCCTATGTCAACGATTCCCAACCAGGGTGCCACAGGAATTGTGGGGAGATGAGCAGGTAAGGGCAGGCTCAGGCTCTCCCTACCTGGCTGCGCCCCTGCCCCCACTGCAAGGAGGTAAGCACTGTAGTAAGTTAGTGTTTTTGAAATGGGGTGCCACTCAATTCACAAAAGTTATTGAAGGGTGCCTTGAGTTGGACCAGGGCTGTCTTAAAAGTAAAGAAAGTTGAGAACCACTGGCCTACCTGCCTATATGGAAAATTCCTCATGACCTTAACCCAAGTCTTCCCAGGTATACTCCAAGATTGGTATTTCTGAATGCATCCATGCTCATACCACGATCTCTTCGCCTGTCACCACGTCCTGTCATGGTTTAAAGAATTAAGGCCCTGAACTTCCCAAGTATTATTCATGTACTTAAGAAGTATGTAAGCAGTCCCACTGACTTCAATGCAACTGCTCCTGGGTTTCAAGTTAAACATATGCACAAGACCTTGCAGGGTGGGACCCTGATTCCCTGGGCTAATTAGTCAGAAGAACATACTACAGCTTACCAGCATGTTCACTGTTCAGTAGCCTATCTCCTGATGTCCCACAGGCATCCTGGAGTTAAAAGTGATTATCTTATTACAGACACACTTACCTTTAATAGCAAAAACACCGTGGCAGAAATCCTTAAAGTTGATTCTCCCCAGGTCATTTGGGTCCAAGTATTTAGCCAGTTTTTCCACCTAAAACAGAATAATAAATGCTTATTGCATGATTCAGATGTTTATGTCAGTCAGTGTCTCAGAAATAACCAGTTTGAAATATAACTGCAGCACACATTTGAAATATAAATATTGGGTAAAAATACATATACACATAGGTATAGAGCCAGAACTGTGTAATTTCCTATGGCACCAAACGTAGGAGAGACCATCTGAAAGGCACAAGAACATTAAAGGAGCAAGAAGCTTAACATGACATGAGCTTAATTTTGCTTGGTACTGTATCATTTTCTATAATCTTGGTTTCATGGTTTAACAAGTCTGATATAAGTTGTTACACTCCATAAATGAGATCACAGTAGGTATAGCAAAGTGCATGTGCATTTAAAATGAGGGAGGTATTTCACATCAAGGAAAACTTGAAAGATTTTTCAGGGGGATTTGAGGAAAAAGAGGGAGGGAACTTGGTAAATGGGAAATGGCTCTGTGTCAAGGAGCTGGCATGAAAGAAGGCACAAAACTAAGAGTAGGAAAAGGACATCAAAGAAGCAAGTTGATGATGAGAGAGGCTGAAGATGGAAGTAGGAGAGTTCAGTGAGGCAGGGGCTGAGAAGACCTGGGCTTTATTTCTACCCCCGCAACCACCCTGCTGAGTGACCCTGGGGAAGTCGCATCACTCCTCTGTACCTATTTCCCCTTCTCTCCCTATCTAGGTCTTGCCTATATAACAGGCATGGACTGTCTCTTGCTGTTTGTATGTACAGTGCCAACAGAGTGAAGCCTTGCCCTGAATTAGGGGCTTGAGGCACTGCTGTAATAAAAGGCTGTGGAAGGCACAAGGGCAAGAATATAGGATGGTACAAAATCCTGGAAGATACAACGCAAGCTCAGATGTGTCCATTTGAACAGCAACAAAAACCCAGCCAGAAATATGTGCAGCAAATGAACGCTAGTGACCCAGTTTTTCAATTTTCTGGTTTCTTAACATGCTAGAAAAGGCCATCCAGCTGCATTCATGTCTGGAACTTCCTTCTCTGCAGTTATTTTTCCATCTAGGTGCCATGTACCAATGCCACGTATCCCTCTGACGTGACCTCATTTAGAACAATGAAATCTGGGCCTAATGAAGACGATGAGGAAAGCAGGAGGCAACAGTCTGATGGATTGTTCCCCTGGGTTCAGTCTTCCATCTTCCTGTGGATCATGCATCTCTGAATAGCCTGAAGAATCAATGATGCCGCACAGAGCAGCACCTCAATGCTATCTAGCAAAACAATTAAGCGCCCTCAGCTATGTATTAAGCAGGTGTTTAAGGGCTGCTGAATCAGGACACTGGGTAGTACCTTGAGTGGTGTTAAATACGCTGGATGGATAGACTGCACTAAACAGCAGGCAGATGTATGGGTTGGTGTTGTTTTAGACAGATTTCATTAAGAACAATGTATTAATGACAGCTGCGTGAAGAGTTGTTCAGCCTATCATCTCTATACAAGGCAGGCATCCCCAGTTAATTGAATTTACAAAACTCATTCATGTTATTAAGTATATAAACATGTCTTTTGTCTGCCATGACACATCTGACAACACACATAACTATTTGTAACTGGTGTGTGTTCTCTATCAAATGTTGATCCACTTCCCAATTTCACAGTGCTTAAGAAAACATTATCTTTATTCTGCACGTGGGAAAATGAAGCACAGGTGTATCAAGTGACTTGTCTCCAGTAATACTGTAAATTAGTAGCTGGACAATGAATAGAACCCAGGAAAGAGGAAAAGAGGCCCATCTAAAATGCTACAGTGATGCACACCCTGGAACTGTCTATCACTGCATAACAGTATCTATCCTGTGCACACAACAGGTAACATGGGTAAGGTAGCTACTAGGCAAGTGGAACAACTATGACTGAATCTGGGAGACTGATCACTTGCCCATAAGCATCTCTCTGCAGTGCAAAAAATGCAGGGCGCAGAATAGCACGGGGACAATGGAAAATTCTGAACTTTAGTGAAACTCTCTGTCTCCCTACCATCTGTTTTATTTTTAACAAAATCACCTGCCACTCCCCTTGTGCGTCTGAGAAAGTTGTAAAATGCATTTTCATCAGGAACAAGTCAAAGTAGAAATCTTACAAAACTCTCTTATCATGCAAACCTTCAGAGAGATGCCAACGAGTACTGTCGATTTGACAGCAGAATACAGCAGCAAGCCAGAACCATGGACAGCACACAACAGGTTTCACCCAGAGGGAGTTTCTTAGAGCAGCATTTCTCAACCTGTGGGTTACAACCCAAAAGTCAGTTGCAAGAATATATGAAAGGGTCGTGAGCAAACTTTAAAAATGGATTGTCCTTTAAAAGAGAAAAATGTAGGAAACTGGCTTTTCCCTCGCAGGCTGGCAGAGGTCCAGCCTGCAAGGGTCTACTTGGGGGCACCCCACCCCCCCATGCTCCACACACCTGGGGGCTGGGGCTGGCCATTAATGTTTACAAATGGGTCCTGGTGCAAAAGGTTGAGAACCACTGTGTTAGAGGAATTTAATACACACGCCTATTTTACATCATGGGAAGCAGAATAGTTTTTGTGGTTATAGCAGGCATTGAGTGTCTAGGAGTCACTGTGTAACCTTTTTATGCTTCAATTTTCCCATTGTAAAACGGGGCAATAATTATCTCCTGTCTCAAAGGCACAGTGTGGGTATTAACATACTGATGTACATGCAGTGCTCCAAATCCTCAGATAAAAGGTTTTATGGAAGTGCAACAGCAACGTTCTGTAGAAGATAGATCAGATGATGGGGTATATGGACATAACAGTTATATTGCTATTACATTATATAACTTATGCCTGCCCACTCCTATACCAGCATAATTGGACCCACACCTATTCTGTTTAAGTCGAAAGTTACCCAGGTGTAGCATACATATCAGGACAGACATAAAAATAGATCAGAACACCTGATGTATGCTCCCCACCCCTTTAAAATGATTTAAGGGTGCATCTATTCTCTAGGACTCCAGAGACTTGGGTTCTACCCCCAGCTCTGTGGCTGACTTATTTATACGACCTTGTACAGCTCACTTAACCTCTCTGCACCTCAGTCACTATAGCTGTAAGAAGGAGATAATATATACACCTCAAGCTCTAGAGGAGAAGAACAACACTACAATATACCTACACAAGTGTTGTTATTCAGAAAGAAAAACAACACAAAGACATGAAATGAAGATCAATAAGACTGCAATGTAGTCAAATGACTGTTCATTTGAAACAAAGCCCAATAAGAAGCTTCAGGAAAACCTAAAACAACTCGAGGTGAACTTTGCTGATGACCTAATTTCTCTGCGTTCCCACCACCCATTCCAGCAGGTGATGAGACTCGGTACCACTGCTGATGAAACAGCAAATTGTCAGTTCTGTGTGGGATGGCAGGACAGCAAGGTGAAAAACTACTTTTCCTCCAAATCTCAGCTTGACTGATTTAATTTTAGCCTAGAGGGGAGCCACAGGAAGCCCCTGATGTGCCTCTTTGATCTCTGCTTAGATACAGATTTTGGGCAGCATCGTTTCCCACCTGGAATCTCCAGGCACATGTTTTATTCTGGATCATCAGAAGGCACGATTCACATTTTGCATTCAAAGGGCTGTGGGGCTGTCTTTCCTTCCCCCCTCCCCCCGAACTGCTGAACATAAAGATGCCTACTCAGATTACACATTCATGCAAATCATAACCACATCTTGTGCTGCTGGTCCACACAGTACTGGTTATGGAGGGGGGAGTAGGAGGGGCAAAACGTATGAATTTGTGCATTCAGCTCACATACCAAACCTGCGTGCAATACAGCTCTCGGCATACACAAATTCACCCAGAGATCAAGCAGAATCTGTGAACACCACCATAAAAGAGAAGCCATATTTTGTTCAGTCTCCTATGGCTACAGAACGTCAGGCTGGAGACGCATCTGTCTGCTGTAATTGGCACTGTGTGCACATCCCTCTTCTAACAGGCTTGTCATAGATGAGGCAGTCGAAGGAAGCCATGTGCATTGGGCTAACATAAATCAGATTAGGTTTATTGCCAAATGGCATGAAGCTCCCTGATGCGCTGGAATGTTATGTCCCCTGCCCAACATATTTTACAGCATCAAAGTGCCTCCTCCTTTTGAGGCATGATAAATGCAGCAATATTGTTATATGTGAAAGCAGGAGGGGGGGGCCCATGAGAAAGGCAAAAGGAGGCTGCACGCTTGCTGCTTACCAGGTACTTTTAGATCAATTTTACTGTCCTGAATACAGCCTGGTACAAGCACAAACACTGATCACCACGCATCTAAATGCATAGGATATAAAATGTTGGGTCACAACATACCTGAGCAGCACGTTCCATATTGTTCCAATTATAGAAGTTGACCCTGCTTATAAGTTGACCCAACAACTTCAGGTTCAACTTTAGGAAAATAAACAGCTACTTCCCCTTACTGTAGTCATTCAAGACCTCCAAATGTTACTGTCCTTACAATACCACCCAGGAGAATCATATAACCAAGGACACAAATGCACCAAACTAGGACTAAAATAAAAACTGCACTGAAAACATTTCTGACTTGGTGTTTTTATTGCAAGCATAAAAATACTGCAGGCACACAAGTCAAGGCTGTAGGGGGCCTGATTTTAGTTTGACTTCATATGTAAATCAAGTGCCTTTTTATGGTCCTATTGAAGGACAAACCGGTGAATATACAGTCAGAACAACACAATAACCAATCTACAATTCACTGTACAATTCTCTGCAACTAAAAGACATAGTTGCAGGTAAGATTTTCAAGAGCACCTAAAGCCCAGTTCCTTAAAGTTATTTAGATACTGAACTCCCTTTGATTTCAGTGGGAATGAGGTGTGTAAGTGTCTTTGAGCGTTTGGGACTGAATTACTTTAAAACATAAAATCTCATTTTCAAAAGAGATTTAGATGCTTTTAAAATGTCACTCTTTTCTCTCCACCTATGATGGCAAGAAGCATC